TCCAGCCAGAGGAAAAGAAAAACATTTATTACCTTTTACTGCGCATCTCTGTTACTTCTGATACACTGCTTTCCATCTGGGAGCAAATAGCACTGCCAGTTTGCTTGATGCATAGATTCAGTACCTGAGTGTGTGCATTCTCTGGCTGCTGGCACACACAGGCAAAATCTCCTCACACTGGTGCAAATTGCTGCATTAATAAAGTAAAAATATGCAGTACTGAAAATGTAAATAAATATAGTACTGTGTAAATGTCCACCATTTTTCTTCCAAGGAGCCAAATTTTTATGTAATCCTTAAAAGTTCCAAACTTTATGAAATTCTTTCAAAGCATTATTTTTAGACTTTGTCTGCTTTGTTGTTCATTTCCTACCCATTCTAAATGGTATGTCAATTTGTGTACGACATCAAGAAGTATAACAGTTTAAATGGTTGGAGGACACAAACACAGTTTGAGTGGCAGATGAACTAAAAATATAAAGGTGGTGCAAAGCCAGAAGAAATCACAAATGTGCATTTTAGGGAAAAAACTAGGGAAAAAAATGTGGGTTTTTTTTACAAACCGAATTCCAAAAAAGTTGGGACACTAAACAAATTGTGAATAAAAACTGAATGCAATGATGTGGAGGTGCCAACAGCTAATATTTTATTCAGAATAGAACACAAATCACAGATCAAAAGTTTAAACTGAGAGAATGTATCATTTTAAGGAAAAAAATCTGTTGTTTCCAAATTTCATGGCGTCAACAAATCCCAAAAAAGTTGGGACAAGTCCATTTTTACCACTATGTGGCATCCCCCCTTCTTCTTACAACACTTAACAGACGTCTGGGGACAGAGGAGACCAGTTTCTCAAGTTTAGAAATAGGAATGCTCTCCCATTCATGTCTAATACAGGCCTCTAACTGTTCAATCGTCTTGGGCCTTCTTTGTCGCACCTTCCTCTTTATGATGCGCCAAATGTTCTTTATAGGTGAAAGATCTGGACTGCAGGCTGGCCATTTCAGTACCCGGATCCTTCTCCTACGTAGCCATGATATTGTGATTGCTGCAGAATATGGTCTGACATTATCGTGTTGAAAAATGCAGGGTCTTCCCTGAAAGAGATGACGTCTAGATGGGAGCATATGTTGTTCTAGAACCTGAACATAGTTCTCTGCATTAATGGTGCCTTTTCAGACATGCAAGCTGCCCATGCCACAAGAGCTCATGCAACCCCATACCATCAGTGATGCAGGCTTCTGAACAGAGCGTTGATAACAACTTGGGCTATCCTTGTCCTCTCTGGTCCGGATGACATGGCGTCCCAGTGTTCCATAAAGAACTTCAAATCGTGACTCATCTGACCACAGAACAGTCTTCCATTTTGCCACACTCCATTTTAAATGACCCCTGGCCCAGTGCAAACGTCTTAGAAATGGCTTCCTCTTTGCACTGTAGAGTTTCAGCTGGCAACGGCAGATGGCACGGTGGATTGTGTTCACTGACAATGCTTTCTGGAAGTATTCCTGAGCCCATTCTGTTATTTCCTTGACAGTGGCATTCCTGTTTGAAGTGCAGTGACATTTAAGGGCCCGGAGATCACGAGCATCCAGTAGAGTTTTACGGCCTTGACCCTTACGCACAGTGATTGTTCCAGATTCTCTGAATCTTTTGATGATGTTATGCACGGTTGATGATGATAACTTAAAAGTCTTTGCTATTTTACGCTGGGTAACACCATTCTGGTATAACTGTACTACCTTTCTGTGCAATGATGGTGGAATTGATGATTCTCTTACCATCTTGGCTTCTGAGAGACACTGACACTCTGAGAAGCACTTTTTATACCCAATCATGTTGTCAATTGACCTAATTAGTGTTAATTGGTCTTCCAGCTGTTCGTTATATGTGCAATTTCCTTTTTCCAGCCACTTATTGCTATTTGTCCCAACTTTTTTGGGATTTGTTGACACTGTGAAATTTTGAATCAACATCCATCAATCCATCCATTATCTTTACCCGCTTATTCCATTTTGGGTCACGGGGGTCGCTGGTGCCCATGTCCAGCAATCACGTTGCTAGGGGCGCGGTACACCCTGGACGGGTCGCAAGTCCATCACAGGGCCACATAGAGACAAACGAGACAAACAACTATTCACTCTCTCATTCACACCTAGGGACAATTTAGAGTTACCAATCAGCCTAACATGCATGTTTTTGGTCTGTGGGAGGAAACCGGAGCACCCGGAGAAAACCCACACATGCACGGAGAGAACATGCAAACTCCACCCAGAAAGGCCCCTGGGCCGGGGTTTGAATTGAATCAACATATTTTTCCCTTAAAATGTTACATTTACTCAGATTAAACTTTTGATCTGTCATCTATGTTATATTGCAAATAAAATATTGCCAGTTGCCATCTCCACATCATTGCATTCAGTTTTTATTCACAATTTGTTTAGTGTCCCAACTTTTTTGGAATCCGGTTTGTAAATAGCTTGAAGAAACATCTACCAACAATAGTTGGTAGAGATGTTGTCTTTCAGCAAGTAGGTCGCAGGATTGCATCCTGGCCTGGCATCTTTCTGGGTGGAGCTTGCATGTTTTCCCCATGCATAGGTTTTGTTTTTCTTTTCCTGAGTACAGTGCTTTGGTTTCCTCTCACTGACCAAACACATACATGTTAATCCCGATGCATGTTCAATAATCCATGTTATGGATTAACACATGCACGTCAGGTTAATTGGCAACTCTAAATTGTCCCTAGGTGTGAGTGAGAGTGTGATTGGTTGTCTCATTCGTCTCCAGGTGGCCCTGTGATGGGACTTGTGACATTTTCAGGGTGTACCCACTTCTCATACAGTGACTGCTGGACATACGCACTGATGACCCCACAAAAAGAGAAGCAGGTAAAGAAAACGGATAAATGGATGGATGGACGGACTGGTTCAGAATCAACCTTTATTGTCATTGCACAGAAGCACAATGAAATTACATTTCAGTATAGCCGTCCAAAGAAAACCTGGGTAGACGGGGATGCCTGAGGCCGCAGCCTCGTGTGAAGCGCTGCCCTTTTCATTTCGATAAGAAAAAGGGAAAACGAAGAAAGGGTAGGTATAAAAAAAATTTAAAAAACTCAGCACAAGAAAAAGCAACATACTGGTGACAAAGAAATATGCATGTGGAATGGGTGAGGGTGGGGGTCCCAGCACAGGCCGCCAAAGTGAACAATGCAGCCATTGGCGCTTTTACATTTACCTAGGTTGCTGCACCGATGTTGCCAATGAGGGAGGCCAACAAAGGTGGTGAATTTGAGGGGAAGTAGTCTGTGAGCACTGTCCATATAGCACCCCCCCCCCCCCCCAGCCATAGTCCTCATAAGTGATGGTGCAGTGTTTATCAGTCGGCTTGGTAGGGCTCTGATACAGGTCCATGTCCTTGGGGAAGGGAGCAGGTAGGGGATGGGGGAGCAGAGCATTTGGTTTGAAGTAACAACTGAGGCACACTGATGAAAACAACGATTCTCTAATGAGCCTTCATTAAAACAAAAAAACTGTTTAAGCCTCCTTCCTACATCCAAAGGGAAAGCCAGCTCTCCTCACCCATTTGGAAATACAGTTCCTTATATGTCCACTCTCCTCAGGTCATTTCATCTGCTCTCATTCTTTGTTTTTTGCCACCTCCAGAATCCTGCAAGAAAAAATAAATAAATAAAATGCTTGCAAGAAACACTATTCTTAAAAATAGGTACAGTAAAATTGAAAACTATGTTTTTACTAAATCTCACTCATTCAAATTAGTTCACTATGCAGAACACTATTGTGAAAAACTGCTGATACTTCCAGTGCCTTTCAAAATAAAACTTTTAAACCTTTAGCTGTGTTTTTATCTGTAACCAGCAAAATGTGGTCTTGAAATTACTATCTATATCCACTGTTTTTGTCAACACTGTACTGTACAAAATTAGTCAAGCCAAAGAAGAAAATATATACCAAATCTTACCAAACTAACAAACTATACTACACTGAGTGAAGGTGTGCTTAAAGCACAAGTACACATAAAAATTGTGGCTGTTTTCCCTTCATCAAGCACATGTTAAGACATTTACATTACCATTACAGGACTGACAAACATTCTTAAAAATGTGTTCTTTATTTTGAATGGTAAACAAGTCCAGTTTCTTCTATGAGTCTTTATTTGAATTGCATTCAAAATTTGAAGCCACATAAAATTTTTTGTCCAAATACCAGAAACTGAAAGCTGTAGAGTACGAAATGTCTTTGTTCAACATGTTTTCTTCTGTTCCCATCAGACAGAAAGGAGAAAGACAAGTGGCAGCTGGTCAGTAGAGGGTGCAAGGGCACCACCCCACCACTCACCACATTACCTTGAATAAGACATAAAAAAAAATTAAATTAAAATGAAATAATAAAATACTAATATATATATATATATATATATATTAGTATTTTAT